TTTGCAAACATAATAAAGCAGAAATAGGAATATTCATGACAGAAATTATCATCAGTAATTTCAATAGATGTTGTCAGAAACTGATAATTAGAATATTAAAAAACTATAAAACTAAAATACAAATACAAATGTACCATAACCTTGAAAAAAACCAATTCCTATGACATGTAAACACAGTTTATCAGAATTTTGATTCCTCGCATTTTACTCTTTGAGATAATGACATTTATTCGAAATCAAACAACACATTGAAAAAAATGAAGAAGTTGATGATTGATTTAAAACAATAAAATGTAAGCCTAATTCGATACTTTTTATACTTTTAATTGCTTCCATCACATAGCAAGGTTAAGAAATACTGAACCTTTTCGCTAGATCTTCCCTCTTAATGCTTAAAACTCCAAATAATGAAGTACATTCTTAAAGCAAATAGTTACTTTGTGAAACTTTATAATTGTTATTGTTATTATTATTATGATAATTGCTACTTCAATTACCCTAATATGTAATCGGTTGCCGCTCTGCTGCAGGGTAATATTTAAGTATTTATTACTATACTTTTTATAGTATTTGGAATAAGATATATGTAGCCCTGGAGCTGCAATAAAGGTTATTAATTTTTTTACAATATATGGCATGTTAAAGTACTTGGAGGAAGATAAACTTATGAAAAAGAAGCCTTAAAACAAGTCTTAGTTAATACATTGTAAATATTTATAACATTCACTTAAAATCTTTCCAGAATATGCAGTAATTTATGACTTACATTCAAGCCTTTTTTTCTTAAGTTGCCTTTTTTACCCGTATTATTTTTTAAAAGTAATGTCCAGGTCAGAGTATTCAGATTTCCAGTAAGCTTCGTTTACAACATTTGGTTACGTGTATAAGTACTGTCCTGATGTTTTCTACTTTGAGGTCCAAAACTATTATATTTCAACATGAAACAAAAACTTACTACACACCCACGACCCTAAAGTGTGAGAATGCTTTTTTTGTTTTACGATAACGGAACTGGAATCTCTAATCCACAGTCCAGAGCTCTCACCAAACGGCGACCACCGACGCGAGATGGTAGAGAAACAATTGATTACTTTTTGTTACTTACGAGATCTTAAGTATAAAGATAACCCTTAAAATTTGAAGTCATCATTTTAGTGTTCGATAGAATCAGAATTTGGTGACTTAAGATCTTCTTTGACAACTGATTACTCATCCTTGGTTCACATCAGTGGAATTCGTTAATGGACGCCAAGCAGACTTTGTTCGTGATACTGCTGATTAAGGATATGCTAAAACGTGACAATGAACTTAGCTTACCATACCAAGGGTTCGCTTCAGAAAAAAAGATACAGTTTGTTTGAAGTTAAGTACAAAGCTACAAAATGGGCTATCTGTGCTCTGCCCACCACGGGTATCGAAACCCGGATTCTAGCGTTATAAGTCCGCAGACATACCGCTGTGCCACTGGGGTGAAAAAAAGGTATAGTTATTCACATAATCTCTATTATTAGCCGCGGCAAAGCGTCTCATAGAACGTTTTTATTTTTCAAATACAAACATTTAGCTCATATCTCCGTCATCTCTTGACCGATTGTTTATTTTGTCTGTTTGTTTGTAATTAAGCACAAAGCCATACAATGGGCTATCTGTGCTTTACTCACCACTGGTGTCGAAACCCGGTTTCTAGTGTTGTAAGTCCGCTGACATACCACTGTGCCACTGGGAGGCATGTAATAAGGGTGATTGTCAAATTCTGATGTTCGAATAGAGCTACACACGATTTGACGGGGGGTGCTGTTGACTAGCTTCCTTCCCTCGTGATATGAGGGTCGGGGGTTCGAATCCCCATTCCACCAAACATGCTCGTTCTTTCAGCCGTGTGGGGGTTATAATGTGACAGCCAATCCCACTACTCATTGGTAAAAGAGTAGCCCAAGAGTTGGCGGTGGGTGATGATGACAAGCTACCTTCCCTCTAGTCTTTCACTGCTAAATTAGGGATGGCTAGTGCAGATAGCCTTCGTGTAGCTTTTCGCGAATAGCCGAAACAAACAAAAACCCTCTACTTTATCAAAAAGACATTCACGTAGCCCAAACTAGTCTAGAGGCTTCACTGACTAAAAACATTAACGAAACCTTTAGGAACACAAGGTAATAAAATATAATTTATATGTTGTCGAAAAAGTAATATAACCTTGTAATGATAAACAGAAGGAAACGAGGCGCATGATTTATTTACTACTAAAAGAAATATTGCGGAAAGACTAACTTAAAAGTATTAGAAAAAATCCAAGGTTCGTTAGTAAACAACACAAATCATGCATTGAGCTCTGTCAGCCGATCTGTACATATCATACGACTCGTATATTCTGAAATATATATATATACACTTTGATATTAAATATTCATGCCAGGGAAGTGCATAATTTTGGCAAGTTTATATATACACACAATTGAATATGTCTCCTTCTTGACAAATTTGAACACGGTTCCTGTAATTAATGATTATTATTTAAAGTTAGCTTGGGGCACGAAAACGAGAAAATATATAATATATAAAAAATCATTTATTTTCTGCGTAAGGTTCCCAAATCAAAGCACCTATGCGTGAATGTTTGTTTCTTAAGTCTTAATGAGACATATCGCTATGTAGCATGAAAGAGCTGTTTTTTTTAACTTAACGAGACATATCGCTCTGTAGCATGAAATAGCTGTTTTTTTCAGACTTAACAGAATATGACGCTCTGTAGCATGAAAGAGCTGTTTTTTGTTTTTTTTAGACTTAACGAGACATATCGCTATGTAGCATGAAAGAGCTTTTTTTTTACTTAGCGA